AAATTTTACATCCCAGCGTCATGATGCGTTTGATAAAGTAACAATCCCATTAATTACTTTCCATTCGTTAAAATTATGCTTTGTTATTGTTGAAAATGTTGAAAATGTCTACATTTCTATATCTTTAGATTCAAAATCAAATGTTATTATCTTAAAATAAAAAATATTAATTTTAAACCAAATTAGACTTCATGTTATACTTTTGTTTTTATTTGTTGTTGTTTTTTGTTTTTTGGGAAATGAAAGCACGTTAAATACATAAATGAATATTAAAAAGGGTTGAAACAGATTCCAAAAGTTCTTCCCCAAAACGCTTCAATGGTAAACAAATTCAAAGTGTATTGTTGGTGCCCCCATCCCACATCTTTCAAACAATTCCAGGTAGGAATGCTCTCCATATTTTGCGTGTATAATAAAATAATCAAGAAGTTATCACAGAGCTAAACCTCTGTGAAAACTGAAAACTCATTTGTATAGTAGCTTAAAAGCATGTCAATTCATGAAAACGTACTATGATGGGTTTCAGATTAATATTAGAATTATTGTGATAATTCATTGTGTATATGAATGGTGAATATAACTGATTGTTTAACTGTGATAGTAGGATACTTCATTGATTTTTACCTTCTCTTCAAAAGAGTTTTCCCTGAGCCCCATAACTATTTAATTAATGAAATAATGCATGAAAAAATCACCACGAATGGAATCTAGCTTCAACGCATCAATTGCTGCTATGTCGGGTTATCCTCTAGAAATTCAGGACGTCTTCAGTCACTCTGTTTAAGAAAATTTCTTTCAATATCCATCTATATTACATTACTTGTCAATGGATTACTATCATATTGGATCTCTTGATTGTCGGACTGATTTACTTTTGCTGGAATGAATGCCTGATTGACTATACCAGTATTTTGTTAAATGGCCGATGGACTGACAGTCAATCAATGACTGACTAATTCCATCCCAACCGCCCTTTTTAGTGATTGGTAGTATACGTTGATGATTTATTGAATAAATTGGTGATTGACTATTGATTAAATAACTGATACACTTTTGAATTCAATAATAATATTGATAACCTATACTTTTTCAAGGCAGCGTACGTTGATTGATTTAATTGATCGAATAAATGAGTGGATGAATGACTGATAAACTGATTAATTCAGTTATTGATAAAGTAACTCTTGTGAGTGCTTGGTAGAGTACGTTGATTGGTTTATTGATCGAATGGGTAACTGACTATTGACTGAAAGACTGATTCAATTATTGTATACTTATTCTTTGAATGACTGATCGTAAAAGTTGATTTTATTATATTATTGATTATGCCTGATTAAGTAATGAGTCTAAGGCAGTGGGGCCCTGCATGGACAACACACCAGCAAAGCGGCAACTCTCTCGTTCATCTGAAACGGATCTTTTGCTATTTTCATAAGTGCATAATTAGTTATGAATGACTGATCGACTAATAATTTATCAATTGTTTCCTCAGTCGCGCGAATGAAGGAATTACCCACGAGTGATTGATTTCTCAATTGCCTACTTGCGTTGGCTGACCGACTGACTGATTGGAATGATTAAAAAGGAAAAAACGTAGAGCGGATCAAGTCATCAATAGACCATTTTCGTAATGTAATAAAATGTAATGCACAAATCTTTGTTAAGGTACATAATTATGTCCCATATACATGTATGCAGGCCCCAAAAAATAAAAAGATTAAATTCCAAAGGCATTTGAAAAATAATACTAATTTAGAACTTCCCTCAAAATAAAATGGGCTTGAAAACGTCTTTGTGTGGGAAAATAACGACCGATAGTTGTCGAATGGGATTTAGCGAGCGCGCTCGTTTAATTAAATAGTCTGATTTCCAGACCCTTGTACCGAATGGTCGTACATTTTGTGCTGCGCAAAGATTCAATTAGTTTAATTTTGGCCATTATAAGAAGTGGGTTGTTGATGTAGACAAAATGCTCATGTACTCTTTACAGCTCATTTTATGTAGGCTATGTTATTACCAAAGAAAAAAAGAAGTCAGTCAGTCACTCAATAGTGTCCAACAGTGAAATCTAGAATACAAGGACACTGCTAACGTTTATATTTCACATAGGACATACGTTACGTATTCATAATTCCTGCAAAGTTCTACAGAATTTGATATTGGCTGTAAAACCTTACATCCAATCGGTTTTCTGTATGTTTAACCCTTTGGGTACTTGCAATTTTATAGCTATGTCTATTGTCTAATTTAATTCATTTATTATTCACTTGATTTATTTTTTTTATATACCTTTCTCTTTTTTTAATTACAAACTTGATATTAATTGAATTTGGCTGGATATATTAATATTTATAATTTGTTATGGATAATGCGTTATACCACCACTCAATTTGGGTTTTACTCTCTTTCAAAATCTACTTTCCAAATCGTTCTTTACATGATTTTCTTCAAGTTAAAATTCATTCTGAATTGTTCTGAACGATACGTTGATGTCAGTTGATATATGATTATTGGTCCTGTGAAGTCCCATGTACCTTATAATTATGTTTAAATGCGATTGTTCTTGAGAGTTATTTTCTTGTATTTATGTACTTAAAATGCCAATTTATACAGTTGTATGGTACAAAGTATATAATATATACCTACATTGTGAACCATTTTTAAGTCTGTCTTTTTATTGTATGAAATCCAACTCATGGTTGCAATAAATAAATGAATTATAATCATTTGCAGCCAACACTAACGGTATAGTTCAGTAGTCAGAATACAAATCGCATATAATAGCTGTTGCTGGGTAGGACAAACAATATGGCTTGTTCTACATATCAACACTTTATGTATGCAATTTGCATTCTGACTACTGAAATACATTTATTCGTAACAGGTGATTCAAATGATTTGTAATATAGCTTTGTGCATTGAATTTGATTACACTACTAACGTGGTCCATATCCTACTTGCTTTGACTGACTGATTTTAATGATTAAAATGAACAAAAAGGAGAGCGGATCAAATTATCAATTCACTAATAGGAATGTCAGAATACAAGGACACTTCAAAGCTGATATTAACAAATGGAAGAACGTGTGAATGGGTTGTCGCATAAGCCTTTGGTAGTCCAATAGTTCCACGAATGGATTTTCAATCCTTTTTTTACATGAACTTTTGTATAACACCTTCATAATACGCTTAATATGAAGCGAAAACTCTTCTGTTTGAATAATGCCCTGACATAACCCTTTCGTAAAAGCCGACACAAATATACGTCATTTGAATTATTTCTTTTTCAGCTAAGTATTTCTTTTTCAGCGAAAGTTATATCTACTTCGATATCATGAGGGTTTTTTTCTCTCGAAGATCTCTTCTTACTTACGTGACTGACTTCATTCACAGTAATCATCCCTAAATGGAAGATATTATCTCAAGATATAAGTTGATCAAATTTACCCTTTTAAAGAAATTTTAAGCGAGAATTACGTATTTAAAAAGGTTGCATTTTCAAGAAATAGGCCTAAATGAAATATTATTTCTTTGAATTAAAGTCAGACATCTACCCAATCACAACACAAGTGCGTTTGGTTGAACATCATTGTTCAATAAATAATAGAAAGTACGTATACTAGACTGCGTCTGCATGCAGGTATATTTTTCGTGTTATTTTGTCAATATTATATACTGCTTTGAACTTGAAGTGCTTTGTGTCTTTGCAGGTTTTACCTATATATACATTTTTGCGCAGCTGATGGCCGTCAAACACAACATAAGGTTAGACTAATGTTTTGGGGTTACGATTTTTTAGAGCTGGTTATATCTCTCAAACGCTTTACATGTTTATTAATTATCCTCATCACCATATCAAAGGTTATTTTTATAATAATTATGATCATGTCCCATGTGCTTTCGTTCTTCCTTGCTTTTCTTTCTCTTTCTTTCTCCGTCTTTCTACTCTCTCATGTCCTCTCTTACAATTATTTTGACTATAGATTTTGTAATACTTGGTACTTGGTATTAAGGTACTTGGTTGGGTAATCCCTTTGGCAGCTCACTCAGGAAGCTATACTGGGATGGTAGGTGAGGCGAGAAGTGCAGGAATGGTGTGTGGACAAAGCACTTGTTAATTTACAGTAAAATATATGTCCAGTGCAAATTAAAACCTTTCACTTTACCAACTGCTTCATCAATGCCCACTTGAAAGGTGTCAAGGAATTATGTTTACTCATAACTCCAATTTTATAGGCCTATAATGTCGCATCCCTATTATAACCCCCTTTTCTTCTTGCTATAATTCTATAGTGCATAATCTAAAATCTTACTCGTTTGTCAAAGGGTGGTCTGTAATCCGCAATTTTGTCTACAGGGGAAAACTAGAGAAAGACTTCTCCTATACCTACCTGTATGGAGGACAGTAGCTATTTATAGCTTTACTGTCCTCAATAGTCATCACTCTTTGACCAGAGAGAGCATCTCTGGGAGTTTGACCACTCGCAAAAGATCAAGGATTTGTCAAGAATAAAAACAACAGATAATACCATACCATACCATACCTTCAAAGCTGTGTTCAGAGACGTGTTTCTGCTGCGTTGTGTAGTACGACTACTACCAAAGTATCACATAATAATGCTCTTACATCATATTGTGCACAACAGACCGAGACATTTAGAATGTCTATATTAATGATGGTTACTTAGTAATTTATCCATTAAGGATTATATGCCCGTGTGTTTATGGCATGTAAACTATATCCCAAATGTAGGATTGCAAAAGTATCGTTACTTCTCTTTGTACTTGCATTGTAATAAAGTCCTAGTGCCCGGATACTACAAATCCAAAAATAAAATGTGTATAGGCCTAACCGACTACCGACATGGGCTTCGGCGCTTGACAAAATATCTATCGGTTTAGCTCATGGATTTAGAGTAAATTGATGAATATTCAATATAGGGCCAATTAATTCAAACTACGAAATATCACTGTATAATTATATATTAAACATGACTTACTTTTGAGCGCCCTGGGTTTGGACTGTTTCCGTCGAGACGACATGCTGGTTGGCGCGAGTTTTATTACTCTCTTCTTTCTCATTAGAACAATCTGTCTCTGATGGCGGTTGGAAAGAGAACTCAAACAAAAGTCTTGGATCGAAAAGATTGAATACTGCCAGTCTCTTTCTCTCGTTTGTGTTTTTGAAGAGTCCCTTTTCGAAGAGAGATGATAATGACTGTATGGTGTTATGAAGATGCGGAAGATCGATAGTTAATTATCGTTCTGTAGCGTTTGTCGTCTGTATCAGAATGCGTGCCGAACATGAGTTGTAACGTAAGCAGAACTTCCAGAAGTGTATCACTAATTGATATCAGTGCGCAAAATGAATGTGACCTCAGTGGTCTCCGACCTTTAGTATAACAAGAAGAGCTAAGTTACATCAGACAAATGGAGCTTCAACTCCCGAACGGGAAGTTCGCAGTGAAAATCGGGCGTGACCGTCGCTGCATATGGATGCACCCAACCCATGCACTGCGTGGACCTCACCGAGGAATAGCGGGAACTCAGTCGACACTCTGCCCGGCGGTTGGGCGTTGATCGCATCTCACGGTGTGTCAGGATATGAAGTGGCTCTGCTGGAGAGCTTAGTCGCAGCTGTCCTTCTTTCCGCCTGGCATGACGGAAATAGTGAGACGCTGTAGGGTTCCGCTCTGTGGGAGACTTGGCCATAATGCTTTGGAGTCCCTAGGTAATTTCGACGAGAACAATCTTTCTCCCTTATTCTCTTTTTCCTCTTTCTCTCCTGTGAATCGAATCTTTTTTTACGCTCTCAAATGGTATCCTGCTGTGATAACCACGCATGCTCCTTGGACGACTCCATTAAATCTAGGGAGGGGTGCTAAATTTAGATAAGTAATAAACAATATTAATATTGAATTCAAATCAGCCATGTTTTGAAACCTGTCATTAAAAATTATTCATTAACATTCTTAAAATGGTAACAAAACCTCCATTAACAACATTCTTGCAAAAATTATAAATTAAATTAATTGTGTTGACCCTCTAAAGAAAGTAGTATCATCCGGTACTTTCCCCTTGGGATCGCAGGATTCTTACCCCGTCATAAAAGGATTTGGTCCCCTCAACTCTACGGCTCCCTCGGGACGGGTAATGATCCTACGGTAAAAAATGACGGGTCCCTGGACAGCCTTGCGGGATGGACAAGCATGCTGAAAACAACCTCTATTTGATTGCCCGTTCCATCAGTACAACGGGTAGTGAATACAAAATACAGGCCTCTTTCTTTATCGTAGGGGTTTACAGACAGTATTATCACAAATTTACACGTATTGCACGCTAGTGAAAGATAGAAATACAGGCTAGGTTTTTTCCTTTTTGGTTTATAAGTGGATTAAGATACCGTGCGAATCATTTTAGATTGAAAACGTAATAACAAATGGTATTTATTACGATCAAGAGGTAAAGGATCGACTTAATTTGTTAATTTGATGTGATTCTAAATAATGCTCATTATCAATACCAAAAAGAAAGAGGAAAAATGAAGAAAAGAGATAGAACAGGCATTATCTACATATAGTACAGTTATGAAGAAAAATTACATTAAATCAAAATCATAAGAGTAAAGGTTGATGATGGGCTTTGTGACAGCTTTTGGTGAGGTATCTGGAAGAAAGAATTTTGCTTGCATGATAAAGATTATTGAATTGTGACAACACGGGTAGACATAATGGCCCGAATTCACAAAGCAAGGTTTGAGCTCAAACCTCCCTTCGTTTCGCCAAACCTCCTTTTGTTCTTTACAAACCAGGTTTGTAAAAAACGCGTAAAACGCGTCATATGACGTACGAAAACCAAGGTTTGTCGACAAACCTCCTTTGTGAATTCGGGCCATTAGGGTGATAAATGTGAACTAACCTTAAATGGAAAACAAAGGAAAAAATGACATCCACAGGAGAAAGAGGGATCACAAAAAGAAGAGATCATTTAAGACAGAGAAAGCGATTTGTTTGAGTGTTTTTTTTCCGTATAAAATCATCACAAACTACATGTACACATACAAACATAAAAGGAATATACGGCGGATAGCCCATTTCAGGCGTATTAACAAAATACGCTTTTAATTTTGTTCTGCCATGGGGTCCGGAAGGGAGAGAGATATTACGAAGGGGGTGAGGGTCCAAAAATGTAAATTGAGAGCCCCTATAGCTACTAGTAGTGTCCTAGCTACTAGAGTAGATTGGCGCCATCTCGAGGTAGAAGATAGCAAGTGTAAAATGTTTTTATTTTATTTTTTATATTTATTTTTTGCCGTCTATCTAATCGTTTCCATCTCACTCCCTTCCAATATCTGTCTCGCCTGTTCATAACTTGTTGTTCGTTGTTGTTTTTATTTACGTATAATCAAATCAGATAAATACATACAAAGTATAATCACACAGAGGAAAAGGATAAAATACGACTGGTGGCCTATTTTTATCTGCAACTACACTGTTGGTCAAAAAGGTGGAATAATTATTTTTAACCCAATTTATGGAATGATTTTGACCATGATTTATTCCTAATAGATCTAAATAATAGTATACATTCTCAGATTGTATTGAATAATAATTGGCGAGTGTTTTTTTTTTTTTGCGTGACTGCTAAAGCATGTGTAGGCTACTACAATGTTTATCAACTAGGGGACCTACGTCTTTAGGTCATAATTAACAGTAAAGTTTTGATCATGGAGCCTCACAGTTACGAGGCCATTGCTTTGCCACTGAATCATGACTGTCCGCAGCGGGGGCCCCCACAAATTAAAAAAACAAAGAAGATGCAATACATTGTTCCCCGGTCCCCAATAGGAAAAATTCTCTGTGTAGCCATGCCACGAAACTTCATCTCTGTGTTTTAATAAATATTATTGAATTACATTTTCATGTTTATGGTCGTGATACCAAAATGGTTAGGGTATTTGAATGAATTTGCGCTATAGCTAAAATACGCAATTGGTAAGGTATCCTTTGACCAAAACAAAATTTGGACAACGGAGTTACAATCTTAATAACGTTTATTTGATCGTAAAGCTTATCAAACTGACTGCTAAAATAATAACATGTGTCGGGTAAGTAATCTAAAGATATGTTGGACCTAGGAGCCATTCCAACTCCCTGGTTGGATAGTCGCGACGTCGGAGATTAGACCGACCGAGTTGACCGAGTTGGTCACTTTGACCGAGGAGTACATTTCAATGTCGCCCTCTACAGTGCGACTCTTCGGTGCATACCGCGATCTTTATTTTTGTTATACTCATTTCTTTTTCTTTGAGTTCTTTATTCTCGATAGAATCTTGCGGTTAGTAACTAAACCCAATTGTCTTTTCTCCGATTTTTAAGTGAGGAATCATTTGAAATAAATTTTGTATACATGAACTTATCGATTATTTATATTTCATATTCATTCTTTTTATATTTGGTTGTCATTAGGCACATATAGGAAATGTATTTACCGAATTACAAGAGGCTCAAAAAAGAAATTATAGCGAAACCGATATCTTAATCGCTTTTATCACATTTCGCTGGGTAAACAAAAAAGGAATGATGTATATCCTCGTTAAAATACGAAACAATGCAATCTGTATATTACTGAAAGTGCAAAAATCGAACGATTAAAGTAAGGACCTCACCAGTGGCGTCATAGAATAATTTTGAGGGGGCTCGGGGTCCTTTGGGGATTCTTGCATTTGTTTTGTACATGTGCCGCTCATATATATATATATATATATATAATAATTAAAACAATTGATATAAAATTCCTTGATAGTTCTCTTCTCTTGAGTTCTTGAGCTCTTGAGAGTTCTCGTGAGAAGAGAACTCTCAAGAACTTGTATTTCAATAAATTGTTTTAATCATTATTTGTATACGATCATCAACATTAAATTATTTCTTATATAACATGTAAGAGTCAAATATATATCCATGTTGTTTTAAACATTATTTGGAATATAAGATGAGATACTTGCAGTAACCAAGCTTAGATTAGAAACAAGGCCTTCCCTTGACTAGCGGGATAAGTAATATTAGTCTCCCCCCAAAATCACAATAATAACCACTTTTAATTCAATCTGGCTGAATACAACCTAATAATAATAATAATAATAGTTCGTTCTTTTATAGCGCATTTCAGGACCGAAGGCCCTCTCAAATCGCTTTACAATGTACAATGTACGTTTACATAATAATTACATAATAATTACTCGAAGCATTCATCAAAAGGGTTTTCAGAGGTCTCTTAAAAACTTCAACATCAGTCATGGAGCGTAGAGACACTGGGAGAGCGTTCCAAAGTTTTGGTCCACCACATGCAAATGCCCTGTCACTGTTGGTCACTTCAGGTCCTATAGAATGATCCCTCCTAAGGCTTAGAATTAATTAAAATGGATATTAAGGGAGACTCCTCATTCGGACGCCAGTAGGAATTCAGTGTCTTGCCAAGTTAAAGTATAAATATTAGGGAACAATACTTTCTGGATTCTTTTACTCTTTGAACTTTTCTCTGTGCCATTCTCCTGCTGCGTCGATAATGGAGTAGGCTACCAAGTTCTCATACCAAGCTACGTTTGTATCATCGATATAATTAGCTCGAACTGTTCTATTTTGTCTTTAGACAATATCCTCTTATCTGTGTTTACCGAGTTCTAGTATAAAACTCTATCTACCGCTGATAATTATATTAGACAGTCGTAATATTCTTCAATAAAATAATTTTTTAACATAAATTCATTGTGACTGGACATTTCATTCCTGTGTCAGTGAATACTCGCTATATCCACGCTATATCCGATTCAACGACATAGTAAGAGTGTTACATAATGAAAGGAGCCCCTTAACCCCCCCCCCCCCCCCCCCATTCCGAACTGCTATAGATCCTCACTTTATTTATTTTTTAATAATTACTTGGTATGATATTGGAATAACTATTTTTTTTTTGGAAATTATTTTAGCGTTCATTCAATGCAAAAATAATCAGAATGACAACATAAACATAAGTTGTCATAACCAACGAAGTTACGGTTCCATTATTATGCACTGAGATTTCTATACTGCTATCTACCCCATCTGCTATCGATTGTGCTTTTCCCACCCGAATTATAATCTGGTGCGAAAATCCTCAATGGTATGCAAAATGGAAGGTTTTACGAATAATATGTTTTTATTTGAACAGTATTAGAGTTCTGAAATTGGATTTGAGATGGATCGATACATTAGTGTTGAAGCGTTGCAGCTGCGGCCTGAGTTGACCAAGCTGTAGCGCCCAGGTACTGCATTCATTACCATTTATAGAATTAATTATGCGTGACGTTGTCAGAATACGGTGTCACGATTGGTCGAAACATCAGCGATCTCCCGCCACGGGTCGGTCATGCGCAGGAGAAAGCAAAATCTGCCAAATCGTTTGTGGCGAACAATACACGCCCTTCTCTTCGCCTGCGCTTCTCGCTGTCAACGGTATTTCTATTCACTTTGAAGGTAGTTACCATTCCGAACACCACACAGGCGAACTCCACGCATCACTTTTTCTTTTCGAGATAACTAACGGATAAAAAAATCAACATCCAAAATGGGCGAATGGAGCAATGGAATCTGTGGCTGCTTCAGCAACATTGGCATGTGTATCTTCACCTATGTGGTACCATGCTACACCCAAGGAAAACTAGCAGAATCTCTGGGCGATGACTGCCTGCTCTGTGGTATTTCTCTGCTGGTACCCATCGTCAACATCTATGCCCGTGTCACCACCCGCGGGAAAGTTCGTGAAAACAAGGGCATAGAAGGAGGCATTATTGGCGATCTGCTCTGTGTCTGCTGCTGCCCATTCTGTGCTATCATGCAGGAAGCCTTGGAGATGTCCGTGTCTACTCCTCTAGGTGCTGGCGAATCCATTGCCCGTTCATAAACCACGTGAAATCTTCTTCAAAAATCAACGAAATTACGGTACATTTTTATCATTTGCAATGGAAGCCCTGGCATTGCAGCTTCGTCAACGCATCAGCGCGGGCTCAAAAGACCACGCCCTTTATCAGTACATGCTCAACGTTTAGCTGCATTGATACGTTTTAACTATGGAACTGGAAGTTCGACGGCTCGAAAGGAATACTGGTTCAAATACCACATCTCTGGATTTATTATATAATTCACTTTTAACTGACTTTCAACTGAGAGGGTTGCTTACGACTCCGAATCTGGAATGATCTGCATCCAACAACAACGCACGGAGGCCAGGGAGGTTGCAGTGCAGCTGCCGTTATTTTGCGCATCATGTACTACTCAACGATGCATGGAGAGGATGAGTTTGAGCGGGTATACTTTCTTCTCAGGTATCATCACTCGCACCGCACGTCTTGTCAACTCGTCAACTGCTAATGATACGATATTCGGTGGACACGCTTGCCCGAGAATTCATCCTCCTATCCTATAGCACGATGCAGCTAGCAGAATTTACACCACTATAATCATGAGTGAACAGCCATGCCTTTCAATTTAATTGCCTACGGATCAAAAAGGTCATACCCACGCGGAGCGGCTGCCAATACGCGGTGCTCAACGAAAGAAAAACAAAAAAACAGCCCTAAAATATTGATTTCTCTCCTGCGGGAGTATTAGGGGCTTTCACAAAAAGGGTTACACACTCGCGATGGTCTGTTTGGTGGAAGAGCAAAATCTTGTGGTTTTCATCCAGTAACCTCATGACCGTCACCCGTTGACCCTAGCACCCCGCCCCCACGCCAACGCTCTCCTCATTCATAATGACCGTACCTCGAGGTCAGCATCTCGACGGGATAGCATCATGAAAGAATTCGAGATGAGCTCGATGTAGGAGTTCATTGACGCAGAACCCAACCCCCTTTGGAACTTTTATTTTCCCCGTTTCGTTTCTGAAGTTCAAGTTTTAAATATCTGGACTGGTATTCAATTCGATTCTTAAGTCAAGAATTTTACTTAAATGGTATATAATTAATATATAGTTGAGTAAAAAATGGCTCCTGAAGTTTTACATGTACTTCAACTCAAGTATTGAATTGAATACCGGCCCAGGTCATTATTTCTCATTCTGTCAGCACGATTCTATGGTGACTTTTACATTTTATATTGAAATATACTGTAGATGAGTACAGCATTATTGTTTAACCATGTATAAGGATGCTACTGATTCCTATGAACTTCCTTTTGTAATGAAACGCCTTTGCTTCCAATATAAGACCTGCATGATAACCATGAATACCCCCTCGTTGGTGGTTGAATACTTTGTAGTGTTCGGTGATATATCTTTTATTATATATAAAAATGCTTATTCCCTATAATGGTTTTGATAAAATATTTTGTATTGCTTTTGAGCTAATGACTGTGGATGTACCCTGCTGTGTTGTGGCCTGTGGGGGATAGTCAAATGTAATTTTATTCCAAGAAACTCGCAGCATACCTGCCAAAAGCAATTCTATTGGTTTTATGACAACTGATTATTCTTAATTTTATTCCATACTCGCTGTTAGCTGCCCATTTAATGGGGTAAATCATCTTTACCATGAGCAGCTAGTTTTTTCTATTGTATGGTATCTCAATTAATTTATGCATATTATTGTGCCTTTGGAGCTTCCTCTCAAATGAACGACAGGTACTAAGAACCAATCAGCCTTTGAAACAAAATCAGGTGAAGAAAAAAAAATTCTGTTACATTCTGTAATGATTACAGTAACATTTTAATTGAACCATGGACCTACTTGGTCCATGATTGAACAAATGGCCTGTACGCCTACTATTCTGTAGTCTTCGCCTGTCATCACATAAATTATTGACACAAGTGACTAAATTTCGTATCATGTTGTGTTCGAGCTGATTATTAACGTAGAAATAAAGCGTTATGCAAAATTATCACAAAATTTGAATTCCGGTCTTTCATCAGAAATTGTCATTTTTCACTGAAAATATGTTTCGATCTACAAGTACCTCGGTACTATAGGAATAGGATAGGTTTCAGAAAGTGACTGATCTGAAGGTAATGCTTTACCTTTTTTAAAAGTACTATTGAATCACTAGCACGTGAACAATTTTTTAGGGGAAAGGTTTTGTTATCGTCTTGTTTAGATACTGAAAATAAGGTTCTAAAACCTTGATAGTTTTGTTCGTTTTGTCACGTGATCGTTTTTTTTTTTCAAAATTATTTTCAATTTTTTATTTTACTTGTCTTTTTTAAACTATTTCTGATTACGAGTGTATCCCATAATATGCTTGTATCTTGATGAAATGGGCAAAATGTGACTTTGAGGTGGACCAACTGAATATAACTTTTCCTCAGCAGGGTTCAGAATTCGTCTGAAAAGAAAAGAGGTTTCCTGGGAAGGCTGAAGCTGTTCTGAATTGATTTGGTACTGGTAGTACATGCATGTCGACTGCAGACAAATCCAGTTGTATTGAATCATGGTTGAATTGACTATCATAATGGATTTATTCGGGCATAATGATTTACACACAAACGTCTACTCAGGCGAGAGATCGAACATCTCTAGCATCTGTTTAGTGTTTTGTTCGATGCATGTATGAAGAAGTGTTTGTTCGCACAGTAGACCGGTTTACTATCATATTCAAATTTAAAGATGCCTTTCCTGGTGACTAGTGACGCGTTATTCACATAACCTGTTATTAATGAATGAACTACAATACTTGGAGTCCAGTCTGTGCATACATTACTTGTTGCTATGTCGGACAAGCATACAATTTGAATATGTTAGTAAACCGATATATTGGAGAGGGGCCGTGACCTACTATTGAAAATGGTCCTCAAAGTACTAATCAATTCCATTTTCCCTGTAACTACATGTCAGGAAACTATTAACAATCTATATATCTACACTTTTGATGGAAGTGTACATTTTTGTAATTTTCTTTTGAATTGTATATTGATGCCTTCTCCGTCGATATTATCACGGATTAGATAGGTTATTTCGTATTGGCAAAATAGGCTGTTAAAATGTACTTTACTTGCCAAGTTTTATGAGTGAACGAAGCAAGAAAGTATCAAATGGATGACGTATAATTAGATGAGATGATGTAGTCTTGTAGTACTATAGTATAGTAGAAATAGAGATCATATATCTATGATGTTTTAGTGAAATTGTTGACATATTGTACTGACATTTTAACTTTTGATCATGGATAATCTTTCAGTGGAAATCAGGAGAGCATTTGGGAAAGGGTCGAGAATCCGATGTTATTTTGTACTAATCAAATTGTATTTCTCAATTCAATAAAGGGGTAAAAACGTACATATGCTGTGATGAACTTTTTTGTAATTTGTATTACTGTGAACTGTATGTAGAGGCAGGGATGTGGTAAATATAGTGGCGTATCCATTTCCAGACGTTAACATGTTGCAACCCCCCCCCCCCCCCAAAAAAAGAGGGCGGATAATACATGGGTTGTCCACGTGCCATAGAAATGTGTGCAATTTTGATTGAGATATTGTATGGGGCGGACCCCCCCCCCCCCAAGTTCTGGAGGAAGGAATAGACTTGGGCTGCTTGTAATTATACCGTAGAACCTGTGTGCAACTGTTGCTGATATTTTTTGGTTGGGTGGACCCCCTCTTCCCCCCCCCCCCCCTCCAGTCAGAAGGGCAAATCTACTTTTGTTGGTGGGAGGGGCGAGGGGACACACCGTTAAACGTTACGCTAGGATGGATACGCCACTGATATAAGTAGACTATAATGAAGAAAACAATAACGTGAGTGTCGGAGTAATGATTGATTGATGTGATTGTGATTTGTGATGCAACAACCCCTCCAAATATAGAGGTTTAGTTGGTTATAACCACTCCATCCCATACCATGAAATAAGAATAAATTTCAAACTGAAAATTAAACTGAAATATAAATTATAGGATAAGACGACTTTCAAGTTTTCCAATTAGGCACTCCATATATAAAGCCGATTAACTTCACTGGCAGTTTAAACAGGCCCGATGTCACTGTTAGCCTGCTGGTGAGAATATTATGCTTTTCAGTTTCAGTAAAATAATAATAAATAAAGAGTTTGTTGGAAGAAACCGAAAGACAAGCATTGTGATGCCCTTCAAGGTTATAAAATAGTGATGTGGAGAAAAGATAGATATTTTGGTGAATGGATTGAATGTTTAATTTGTTTAAAAAAGCGGTGATCAAGTGCACCAAATACAGGCCTAAAATGAATTGGAATTTTCTTTTGTTTGGAGTAGAGCGTGTGAAGTGTATTGTACCAGGGAGATGACATGTTTCCGTGATGTGAGGATTTGTTTGAACGGGGACAAGGCACGCCTAGCTTTGAATGAGAAGTGTGTGGGCGTATGTTTGTGATTTCACATTCAGTCTTCATTGTACAAACACTTTTCAATCATCGTAGACAAACAAAGATCAAGTATTACCTGGATGAACATATAAATATTTTTAACAAAAGTATTACCTGGATGGTACATGGATTGATTCAAGTATGTCTTTTCCGCCATATACAATTTCATACTTTCACGAGAAAATGAACAGAATTAGATTATGCGTATATTCGGGAACATTTGTAAATGATATAACATTTTAAACGTTAGTTTACTTTTCAAGGACAATGCAGCCCTTGTAATAAGTTCATTTTTATGAAAGAAGAAAAATAAGATGGACAAAAAACAAAATGGTGAAGGTTTGAGCAAAAATGGGCCCAATAATAAAGAAGTTATGAATGTTAAAAATATGTGCTCAAGGGCCCGAATTCACAAAGCAAGGTTTGAGCTCAAACCTCCTTTTGTTTCGCCAAACCTCCTTTTGTTCTTTACAAACCAGGTTTGTAAAAAAACGCGTCATATGACGCGTTGTTTTTTGTTTTTTTTTGTCGACAAACCTCCTTTGTGAATTCGGGCCATTAAGTCTGTACGAATCTCAA